TTGCTTAGTTTGGGACTAGAAGCACAGTGTAAAATGTCCAAGAATATTTATTTATATATTTATTCACAAGAAAAACTTAGAAAAACGACACTTTTAAAGCTTTATAAAGCTAAACGCGTTCATCAACAGCCCTTTACAGTCCACTGCTGGACTATGAGCCTCCTCCACTATAGTGGAGGGTTTTGCCATAATCTCCACGCTAGGCAGGCGGGTTGGAGATCGCAGTTTAAAAGATTGATGTTTTTCAGAGAGCGCTGCTGCCCATTCTCTGTTTGATGTGTAGTCCCTAAGTCGTCTCTTACGACACCCGCGGGAAGAGTAGGGGTTGGTGACAAATGTATTCTACTCTGCCGTCACCACACGGCTAATCTCAGGAAACTACTGGTGTGATTTAAAAAAATGTTTTTGTGTCGGATAGCCCACTTATCGAGGAAGGCTTTATTTAGGCTTATAACATCACCCTCCAGCTAACAGGGGCGGAGCAGTAAGGAAAAATGTTGCTCACCATCATTATCAACAGCCCTTTACAGTCCATTCCTGGACTATGAGCCTCCTCCACTAGAGTGGAGGGTTTTGCCATAATCCCCACGCTTATTAATGTTGCACAAACGGGAAATATTATTATTTTCACGCATACAAATTCGTGTACGTAGTTGCTACAATCAATCAATTTACACATTTCTAAGAGCTGAGTTCTATTGCGGCGGTTCTCCTCAGCACTTGCCAAATGTTGGACTCGACTCGAAGCGCTGGTAGGGAAAAAAGATTATCGCCTGTATTTACAAACGATACTTGCTTAAGTGAAGCAGAAAATCGAACGCACAGCGTTGAATAGAGCTCTCTGATTGGTTCGTGTGTCACCCTGTGCGTCTATGCGCACTGTGAGACCTCATAGTAATGTTTGTGAATACGGTCGTATGAGTATGAGACATGTGAGTGAAGGCTCCTTAAGAACAAAACTCTAGTTTTTTTTATTATTCTTTTATTTTAAGTTTAATATTTGACGATAATAAAATTAAATAAGCACTATTTTTAATATTCTTTACTACCTAGGCTTATACTTTATACTTTATACTTTGCTGCCTAGGCTTTACTAACCAATCATCTCACAGAGCAACTGGAAATCCTGAAGAAGAGGATAGAAGATAAGAAAAACAAGGAGAAGCCTGACCATCCAGGTCTGGAAGAGAGTCCGTTAGCTGAATGGAACCCTGAGGTGGAGGGTGTAGGAGTGCAGACCTCAGATGCGTCGCTACCTCCTTGTACCTGCCGCGTACCCAGTCCCACGCCTGTGTCCAGTGCTGGAAGGATGTTCGATAGTAAGACACATCTAAAGCCCGGTCTGTGAGCACGTAGAATCCCGTCCAATGACCCCAAGCTACCCATCCCTATCGCTCGCGCGTAATTATGTTGCTGTCGAACTCGCACACTCACTGCGGGCGCCCGTCGCACAGTCGCGACAGCAGCATAATTACGCGCGATCGATAGGGATGGGTAGCTTGGGGTCATTGGACGGGATTCTACGTGCTCACGGACCAAGCTTTACAAATTATAATTAATAAGATTTCTATAGCCTTGGCCATACACATCACGATAACCCGAGCATTCGCACTGTCGCGATGTGTTCATCATCATTTCAGACATAGGACGTCCACTGCTGAACACAGGCTTCCCCTAATGATTTCCACAAAGGCCGTACTGGAAAGCACAGCGTAGAACGTCCAACCACAAGGCGGACTGACGACCTGATAAAGGTACTTAGCAGGTAGGCGCTGGATGCAGGGCGCTACCAACCAGCCAAATATTTACGTCGACCGAATTATTTAGTGATTTTTTGCATAGTCGCAAGGACTTCGCTCTGCTGTCACCCGAATGTTATCACGATGAGTGTGGCCCAGGAGTAAGAGAAGAGACGTCCAGAAACAAGTTGGACAGATGACCTCATAAAGATAGCAGGAAGGCGCTGGATGCAGGTCGCTACCAACCGCCAAATCTGGAAATCATTAGGGGAGGCCTACGTTCAGCAGTAGACGTCCTTTGGTTGAAATGATGATTATGATGAATGCTCTAAGGGACCAACATTAAAACCATCTAGATTGATTGATCAGCTGTTAAAATTATTTACAAATTCTTAGTAGATTCAACACGTGTAGTCCCATACTTACACCGAAAAAGAAATGTGTCATAAAGATGTTGCTTGTTTGTTAGAGACGAATTGACTTACGCATCTGCTATTATGTAACTATTATTTTGCATAGCACGAGCAAAAAGGCTGAAAGTTCACCAGTTTTGTTTCTCTGCATACATGCATAGTACCTACTGACTACGGAAAAGGAAGGATTATGGTTTTAGCAGTCTTTGTATCATCATCTCAGCCATAGGACGTCCAATGCTGAACAAAGGCTCCCCCAATGATTCCCATAATGACTGGTTGATAGCGGCCTGCATCCAGCGCCTTCCTGCTGCCTTTATCAGATCGTCGTCCGTAGCGCCTAAACTGTTTATTGATTTTAATTAATAAGGTGTCAATCGATTCGTTAATAGCCCGGGTCACAAAGACGACATTTTAACCGACTTTAACTAAATAGGAGTCGATTTTATGTTGTGATTCCTTAGTCGGGTAACAGTTTTTTTTATTTCACTCTTAAATCCAAACTTTTCTCTTCAGTGCAAGACCTTATTCCAATCAAACAGAACTTAGACGCGATTCGAAAAGACTGCTTCTACGATGGTGGCATCGAGTTTGACAGGTTCAAAGTCATCGGCCAGGAGAGCGACTACACCATGTATGTTTTATGATTACTACAGGGCCCCGATTGCGCTAATATGTAATGTCTCCAATTCATTAGCGTCTCATCTCTAGTCCACACTTCAGTTACGCTCCATTATCATTCCAGCTGATGCGTAATTCGGTATCGCGGTATAGTTCACGCGCAAACAAAGACGAAACAACGGATTGAAGCACTTTCCATTAAAAGTCTGAACAACTTATTTTTTAATTTAAACAATGAAGAATGTTCACTAATTTTGTTTTTTAGCTTTCTGTATTCTCTGTTAAAAATAAAAAATACACGTGAAAGAATCATTTCGATACGTTTATTAGTTTCCAAGATATTGTATTTTAAAAGTGCGGGCGGCGGCCGGCCCGCCATTTTATGCGCGTGACGTCATATTACAACGACTGGCTCATATTTGTATGGGTGGAATCTTGCAAACTGAATTAAGACCCACTTCCAGGCAACCGATTAAGCTGAAATTTCGCAAACACATGTGATTTGGATGACCATGCAATATTATGATGACATGGAGCTGATCTGATGATGGAGCTGGAAGGTGGCCATAGGAACTCTATAATAAAACGACTTAAATGCATCGAGTTTGGGCTCGTTCGTTTTGTATTGATGAGTATTTTAATTCTATATAGTAATCGGGGTCTAATGATGGAGCTGGAAGGTAATTCGCAATAAAACGACACAATCGCATCAAGTTTGGGTTTGGTTCAATTTTAATTTCTGTGATGGGTCTGGGTGTTAATATGTATAATAAGTTTGTATTTACAAAAAAAAAATATTTAAGTATGTTTATATCCGTTTTCTAGTGAGCGGACGCTGTGAATGTAAGTACGTCACACGGGGTCACGTGACCGTCGGCGGGACTCAATATATAAGCGAACTTTGAATGCCTATAAAATCATAACTACTGGGTATTTTTGAATGAAATAAAAACTAATGTATTTGTAAATGTAAAAACTTAACTGTAACATAGGTTTCAAGTGATTTTGCATACCTAGTAACATTCTCAATTTTAATGTTCGTGAAGCGATTGACTTGCATTTGAGAAAAAATTAGCTTTCTGTGACACTGTACTGTACACAAATACGCAGTTGCATTCCGTTTACGTTACAACTTCGTTTGAACTAGCTATCAAAGCGACACCGCGATACGAATTTTTGTGCAAACTGCTGATTTTCGTTAGTCATCCAGTTGCGTTGCAGATGAAAATTTTAGCGAAATCGGGGCACATAACTGAGCCTGTGCCTGAGGTATCGTATGGGAGCGGCACTAGAGGGTGACATACCTAAGTGTGCACTATGCAGAAGAAGTGCAGGGGGTCTAGACAAAGTGCAAATTATAATCGCAAACCAGTCGAAAAGTGGTCGAAAAGCCCCTTTTTTGTATGGAGTTTTGACGGATTCGATTTTCGATTCGATCAAAAAGTGCGTTTTGTCTAGGGGGGCAGAGCATACAAGTATGAAGCATGTCCGAAGTCTCGCTGACGTTTGATGTCACACAAACACCCTCTTGTGCCGTTCCCATACCGGCACGCACTTACTCAGTTATAGAGTCAAATTAATAAAACTAATATCAAATGCGAAAGTAACTCTGTCTGTGTCTTGCTTTCATGCCTGAACCATTGAATCGATTTTGATGAAATTTGGCATAGAGATAGTTGGAGTCCCGGAAAAAAAGGACAAAGGATAGTTTTTATCCCGGTTTTTGAAACAGGGACGCGCGCGGTAAAGTTTCGATTCGATTCGACAGACAAAATATCAAGCGGGCGAAGCCGCGGGCGGAAAGCTTGTTTTTTATAATTAAACTGTTAAAAAAAATCTGCGATATGCAAATTATGCAAATTACTGAGTTGCTGTTAAATAGAACGTGGTTTGCTATCGGCCAATTTTTCATTGAATTAGAATCGGGGCCAACTATCGGTCAACTTAAAAGTCGGTGCTCTAAGCCTAGGATTAATTTTGTGGCACAATTTTGATACTTTAGAAAATTATAATTGAATAATTTTCAGAAACGAGGCTCCGAAAGAAGATTTCAAGAAGACTAGATTATACGAGATAAAACGAATACTGAAACAGCATCCAAGTCTCTGTGAAATCTTCCAAGCCAACACCAGATGTTAGTGAAACCACGTCGTCTTGTAAACATTTATTTCTAAATGAAAGTAACAAACTAAAACCTAATAAAAATAGTTCATAAACACGATGAGTTTTAATCCTAACAAACAAGCTGTGTTGACTAGAAAATTTTGTAAACCATTCCAAAACTTTACAATGAATGACGTCATACCTTACATAAAATAAGTAGGTTCTGAGGCAATAACTATGTCTGTTATTTCTTTTTGTATAGTCTCTTCAATTGTTATAATAGTGTCTTGTTCACTGTCTTTAAACTCTTCAACGTCTTGAGGATCATCAAGATTCTTTTCATTGATATCTTTAAAGGCCTCTTCATTCTGTTGATCAATTTGTTGATCGATTTCTAGACTATCCCCATCTCCTTCGTCACTTTTAGGTTCTAAACGTTTTTCTTCAATAGCGTCGACTATTTCAACCTCTTTAAAAACATCAGACTTGATCCTTTCCAAATTAATTTGGTTATTAATTAGCTCTGTAGAAGTTACTTCAGTAATGCTAGGTTTAGAAAAAGATCTGACTACAGCGGGTTCTACTTTAGGTACTGGTATCTTAGATTCTTCTGGTTTAGACATTTTTGGATTGGATTCTATGGTTTTCAGCGATGATTTCCTGCTAAGGTTCGGTGTTATATCAGCTATCACTGGTGATTGTACTGTTTCGAAAGGGACAGCAAGACTATTCTGGAAAGCCTCGACCTCTTTGCGTCTCGCTTGCTTCCTATCTAGTTGCTTCTGTAGTTCGTCTATCCTTTCATCTTTCAATTTTAACAAGCTATCCAAATGTTCCACCTGTGCCAACAAAGATAATAATAGCTTAAAATTAACTTTAATGGAAAGCAGGGCAATTAAAACTGGCCCTGAAATAGTATTAAAACAACTGAACTAATAAAATACCAATTACCCACTTATGAGTGAAAACTGAATAATGCCCGTTTTCACTATCAATCCCTAATTTTTAAGTGACCCTTATGGTAACACAACAGAAATTTTGTTTTCATAGGGGTTACTTAAAAATTAGGACTGATGGTAAAAACGGGCATTACTATCTAAGATATAGCAGCGGCATGGGAAGGGTGGCATTGGGTGCGTTTGGCCGAAAATAGAAATAGTAAGAAATTGTAAGCAAAATTGCTATCGCCATTTTAATAACAATTTCAAACGCATTAACCTTGTCATTTTGACATATTTCCCATACTAAAACTTTAAATGTGCCAAACTTATTCTTCAGTTAATCAAAAGTTATCCGACGATTGAAAAATCAGCCCTTAGAATGATAAAATAATCATGCCCGTTACACATGGAAGTACCTTTTGCTTCAGCACCTCTGAGGAGTCCTTGGCATCCTTCAGCTCCTCCTTCAGCGAAAGGTACGAGTCGTAGCTGACCACCTTCTGCTGAACCGTCTCCAGTACACCGTTGACCCTCGTCTTCACCGGCACCACCAATACGTTTTCTGATTGAGAAGTAACCATTTAATCAATACATTTAAGTCTGGTCGCCATCACTGCACGCCGGCTGATCGCGTGTGATTGCGTTGATTTGGCCGAACCTTTATTAGGTTAAGATCCCCTCAACACCATTGAACAGGTATTCAGGGGATGTTTATGTTTGATATGATGTATTTGTTTCAAGCAGTCAATTTCCTTGAGTATACATAACAGGATCTTAGAAGGTAAATTAAAATTGTAACCGCTGCTATAGTCCAGCCACCGAGCACGTATAATTTCGTCCAATGGCCCCATGAGCGATAAGGATGGGTAGCTTGGGGTCATTGGACGAAATTCTACATACTCGGCGACCGGGCTTTAGAATAGGATACGCAGTTTCTGCTACAGATACTAAAACTACGACAGCAGTAACTGCACAGATACGCAGTTATTACTGCTAGAGTGATACCAAAACTGCGACTAGATAGTTGCTGTATGTCTATAAAATAGTCTACTCCAAAGAATTCAATCATCAAGAGCTATAGAATGATTTAATTTACCATCATCGCCGCAGGCTTCATAGTAGCTGCCTCCACTGGAGACATTCTGTTCGGCATCCTTCACACTCTTGTTTAGTTCTTCGTCTCGACGAATTTTGTCTCGAACTTTGAACAAATAATTACAATTAAACGATCCTTGATTCACATTCAAGAATAGATCTACATCTACTATAATCAAACTAGGTTTTGAGGTATAAAAGGATTTGCTACACTAAATGCTTTGTGCGGACAGCGATTTGGTCAAAGTGAACATATCATCTAGAACAACATTGTCGGTCTCAATTCTCTATAGGTACATTTTGTATTGATGTGATCTGGAGGCGTAGTGCCAGTTTACACCAAACGTAGTCGATATCGAGTGCGTAAACAATTTCATTAAATGTATGACGGATTGTACAGCGTCCCTAGCAGATACATTCAAGAACTAAATCTTCATAGATTTTTTTTTGACGCACTCGATATCGAATACATTTTATGTAAACTCACACTAAGCCCCCTGACCGTGCTCGTGGTCGTGCAAAGAACGCAAACCGCACCGTTGACAGATTGCCTTACGACCACTGACTGATTGTATTGCCCGGACTGCTAATCGGTGCCTTGCGGGTCCAATGACAGTTTAACTTTCCCCCGGGATAAACTTGACCTTCATTAGTTGGGTTTTTATGGCGGTCAAGCTGTAGATCCTGGCTACACAGGAGTTGCAGTGGTGGGAACGAGTGGTGGGAATAGTCCCGTGATCGGTGCCTTGGCCGACAATGTTGTTCATACATAATGCGAGATTCATTTATTGTGAGTTGACCGTAAATCAAAGACTGCATCCAGTGTGTCAAACCCTTTAGCTCAAGATTTTACATATCAAAAACCATTTACCCATAAGCAGCACTCGTTCTATCACCCCCGGCGCACAGTTAGCCAGCTGCTCCATGGTGTTGCAGCACAGATTCAGCTTTAGTTTCTTCAGCACCTTCCTATTAAGGGTCATCCAGTTATTCAGCTTCAGGGCATGACTGTTCCTAGGGGGATAGTTGTGCATCTCCACCAGTTTCGGGTAATGCACACACAGTATTTCAGCGAGGAGAACTGTGGACAAAAGTTGTGTGTTTACAAAATTATCTTGAGAATTTATTTTAAGAAAGACTTTAGAAATACGGGACTATTCACACCTCTCGTTCCCACGCAGAACTGCGGTCATGCTGTAGACCCTGTGTAGCCAGGATCTACAGCTTGACCGCCACTAAAACCCAACAAGGAAAGGTCAAGTTTGTCCCGGAGCGGGGCAGTAAAGAAAAACGTTGCAAAAACGCAATGGCTAGTAGGTAAGTTAAGTGGCATTACAGTAGGTATAATAACGAATCAGATTAAGAAAACCTGTTTAAAATGTTTCTAAGGATTGACAATGACTTTGAGCCTATTCTATTTCTCATTATTATTATCTCTTTTCTTTATATCGTAGTTCTAAAAACATTGTTTGTGTTGTTATTTAGGAATTGTACCTACCTGCTTTACAAAGTTATCGCGAGCGTATGCGCAAGCCTACCATAAACTTTAACAAGCCCACCAAAATGCAGCATAATATTACATTAGATTAGACAAATATTTTTGCAGGAAAACAACACGTATCACCATTGCATAAGACGCTATATTTATCTGGTCTTCACTTTTCCTATCCAATGAAAAACAACACAGACATGGTCATCCACGAGTTGTATATCTATATATATAAAAGAAAGTCGTGTTAGTTACTTCGCTTATAACTCAAGAACGGCTGAACTGATTTAGCTGAAAATTGTCAGGGAGGTAGTTTAGAGCCAGGAGAAGGACATAGGATACTTTTTATCCCGTTCGAAACAAAAAAAAAGTCTGCTTATTTATTGCCATTAAGGCGGAACAAAGTTCGCCGGGTCAGCTAGTTTATTTATAAAAACAACACATGGATTATCATGTGCCTTCAGCCCAAGGTGTCGACTGCGTTTGTTTTTCAAATTCAAAAGCCTTCACTATAATTCTAGTTCTTTATATTAATACTAGCTGACCCGGCGAACTTTGTTCTGCCTTAATGGCAATAAATAAGCAGACTTTTTTTTTAATTTCGAACGGGATAAAAAGTATCCTATGTCCTTCTCCTGGCTCTAAACTACCTCCCTGACAATTTTCAGCTAAATCGGTTCAGCCCTTCTTGAGTTATAAGCGAAGTAACTAACACCACTTTCTTTTATATATACAGTGTGTCCGGGCATGTAGTGATCAAACTTTAAGGGCGTAATCTATAGACAATTTTATCGACGAAAATACTTCAAATTTGGGGCTTGACCCATTTATCACAAAATTACAAGGATTTAAGTTTTTAATTTTTAGTTTTCACCTCTTCCTTCAAAAATAAGTGAAAGCGTGGGTAGCTTAACATTAATAAGCAAATATTTTATATCATGCGATAGCCAATAAAATTATGTATTAGTAGAAGTAGAAAACAGACACAAGTTTTGTACATTTTATGGGAGTAAGAATGGATTAAATTAGAAAAATACATGACTTTTTTCACTTCTTTTTCAGTTATTTTCCAACACAAGAAAAACCAGGTCGTTAAAGTATGTTTTATTTGCATTGTATTCTTAGTGTTTGAGCTATTCTACAAAACGAATGTAAATTTATTAGTCTANCTGGCTCTAAACTACCTCCCTGACAATTTTCAGCTAAATCGGTTCAGCCGTTCTTGAGTTATAAGTGGAGTAACTAACACGACTTTCTTTTATATAATAGACTAGCTGACCCGGCGAACTTTGTTCCGCCTTAATGGCAATAAATAAGCAGACTTTCGAACGGGATAAAAAGTATCCTATGTCCTTCTCCTGGCTCTAAACTACCTCCCTGACAATTTTCAGCTAAATCGGTTCAGCCGTTCTTGAGTTATAAGTGGAGTAACTAACACGACTTTCTTTTATATATATAGATATAAGATTTAGTTCTTTGGTTATTAAGCCGTAGATCCTGATCATACAAGAATTGCAATGGTGGGAATAACGCCCGTATTTATAAACGATGCTTGCTAAGTGAAACAGCAAATTGAACGCACAGCGTTTAATGAGCTCTGTCATTGGTTCGTAGGTCCCTGTGCGTCCACGCGCCCTGTGAGACCTCATAGTAATGTTTGTGAATACGGGCGTAAGAGGTGCTGACAGTCCCGTAAGTGTAACACGGCAAGTACGGCTTTCTAACTGACGTATCTGCCATTTTTTTCGAAACTGAGGTATCTACACCATCATAATCAATTTCGCAAGACGAATCGATCTATCTAATCGCCTGAAATTTTTTCTAAATGTCAGTTACGTCACTTAGAGAGGCAAGCGACGTTATTTTGCATTAAAGGGCTCTATTATTCAAAATCTAAGGTTATTTTTTTAAACAGGCACAAAGTCATTCAATAATTTTAAGGCCCAAGTGGTCTTCCTTAAGCGATAAATAAATGTCCGGTAGTGGCCTTGATTTTATTAGCATACTAGCTGACCCGGCGAACTTTGTTCCGCCTAAATGGCAATAAATAAGCAGACTTTTTTTTATTTCGAACGGGATAAAAAGTATCCTATGTCCTTCTCCTGGCTCTAAACTACCTCCCTGACAATTTTCAGCTAAATCGGTTCAGCCGTTCTTGAGTTATAAGCGAAGTAACTAACACGACTTTCTTTTATACAACGTGTCCCAAAATTCAAGGATAAGCCGGCGCCGCAGGATGGATATAGTCATGACTCCTTCAGGAAAAATAAGAAAAAAAATCTATCTCAATTATTTTTTAAGTTACACAATAAATTATGGAATTCGTCGAAAATTGACACCCCTTATGATATTTTACATTACCACGACCACAATTTTTCAAATACTTCTGTTTTTTTGCGCCGGCTTATCCTTGAATTTTGGGACACGTTGTATATATAGACTAGCTGACCCGGCGAACTTTGTTCCGCCTTAATGGCAATAAATAACGGGATAAAAAGTATCCTATGTCCTTCTCCTGGCTCTAAACTTCCTCCCTGACAATTTTCAGCTAAATCAGTTCAGCCGTTCTTGAGTTATAAGTGGAGTAACTAACACGACTTTCTTTTATATAATAGATTATTTATTTAGCTTTCTTTATGCGTGAAACATATTTTAAATCATGCGGTAGGTAAATTATTGAGTATTGAAATAATACGCACTTACTTACAGTCTTCGAAGTGATTGTCAAACTTATGTCGTTATTTCAGCCAAATGACGCCCACTGCTGGAGAATGGGCTCTCTGGGACTTACCTGGAAATCCTTGGGAGAGGCCTGTTTCCAGCAAACTTAAGTGCGACCATCCAAACACGAGAAACATAGCAAGTGGTCTATAAATCCAAAAAGATTGGGCACTTCTGGTCTAAAGGCACAACATCTATAGATACATCTATACAAATATTATAAAGCTGAAGAGTTTGTTTGGTTGAACGCGCTAATCTCAGGAACTACTGGTCCGATTTGAAAAAATCTTTTTGTGTTGGATATCATTTATCGAGGAAGTAAAGCCTTACAGCCAATATGAGCGGAGCATTAAAGAAAAATGTTATACGGGAAATACCTATTATTCAAACTATTTTCACGCGTACGAAGTCGCGTTCATAGCTAGTATTAGGCCGTATACCTACAGAAAGAAAACTGGAAACTTATAAGCGCTTACCAGTGCTTGTCAGCGCTGGTAACCCGCGCAGGAAAATATGAACGCGCGCCGATAAGCACTGAACGGCGCCAACAAGTTTCAACACGCGCTGGTCTGAAAATGCCATTCAACTTGTTTCCTTTGTGAACGAACGGACCAGCGCTGGCTGACAAGCGCTGAGAAGCGCTTACAAGTTTGGGGGCGNGAGGTTAAGTGGGGGCCCCTAGAGTATGGTAGTCGTTAACATGACGTCATGATTGTAAAAAAATGCACTCGTCGTTTCAGCCAAATGACGTCCACTGCTGGACAAAGGCCTCCCCCAAGGTTTTCCACAATGAACGGTCCTGCGCTGCCCGCATCCAGGCTCTTCCCGCGACCTTTACCAGATCGTCGGTCCACTTAGTAGGAGGCCTGCCCACGCTACGTCTTTCAGCCCGTGGTCGCCACTCGCCAAAAAAATGCACTAATGAGTAATTAATATCAACTTTGAAGCAAATCACCACTAAAATAACTTTCTGCCCCTTTTTAACATAGTTAGGGGGTGCATATCACTAAAATACGAAACACGTCTTCCATTAATTCTGTTATAGAATGCTTATGCAAAATTTTAAGTAGGTAGATTGGACGAAGGAATCTCGTTATTTCATACAAACTTTGCCCCTCCTTTTTACCTCCTTAGGGGTAGAATTNAAAAACCTCACTTAATCTCACGTGGGGGAGAGGGGGGGGGGGTGTCGAGAAATATCACGTATTTTTATTCCACAACAAACAGAGTAAATCCTCCGTCTGCATTTGTGAGCACAGGCCCAGTTTTCAGATCCGCAGTTTGGTACCAATGCTTAAATATTAACAAAATGTAAACTAATAGTTAAAAATTGTATTAAAAGTAAACTTTTTTCGCAGGTCGGGTTTTCTTTATAAAATCTAATTAATGGACGCCCCCTTCCAGCTTTCTTTCTGTATATGGCCTTAGAATAAAGAGTCACTTACCAGCATCAGAAAAGTCCCTGTTAATCTTTTTAGTCGGTCTTGACAGCTTGAAAGTATCTACCCAAGCCAGCACCGACTCTATATCGGAAAGCGGAATCGGCGAGTCCAATGTAGACATGTTTTTATATTTTACTATTAAAATTATTTATTACTTTATTTATTTTATTGACGATTGTTCAACGATAGGAATTTCGCATGTTTCTCGAGTAATGTCATTTTTGACTTGTCTTTGACGTAAGGTTTTTTATGGCCAGTGTGCGTCAAATCAACCATGAAGGAATGATTTAGGGAGGTCATACCTACGCTACGGTGAGCTATTGTGATTTGTATAAAAGCTTTGTAAGAGCTTTTAAGTTGCATTCGGTATCTATACGTAAGTGTAGGAAGTCGTACTTGCCAGCCAGTAGCTAAAGTACTAAAGAAAATAGAACTAACGTAGAATACTTGCAAAAGACTAATTTAGCAAGAAGAATATAAGATATCTAATAAGCTATAGAAGAGCTTCACCGGCTGAAACTACAGGCAGGTACCTCATATGTGCATTTTGTTGTCTATCTTACAAAAAAAAAGTATTTAAGTATGTTTATATCCGTTGTCTAGTACCCATAGTACAAGCTTTTGCTTAGTTTGGGACTAGAAGCGTAGTGTATAAATTTCCAGGGATATTTATTTATTTACTAGCTGTGCCCGCGACTTCGTCCGCGTGGAATAATGACTTTGGGTAGGCACTTTTAATAATTTAGTCTAATTATTTTACAAATAGCTTTTGCCCGCGACTTCGTCCGTGGAGTAGTCGAAAACGTTCTCATACGATTATTTTTCAATGTTTTAACGTTATTTTCTAAATGTTTGAATACTTTTAAAATATAAAAATCAGGTTAAATAAACATGAAAATATTATTTTCTTATATTTTATGAATATGCAGCTCGGCCTTTGATCCGGTGAAAGTTACTCGGTGGTATTATTTTTTTACAACGAAATCGAAAACTACACCTACCGCAGTATTATTGGTAAACTTTTTTTTATATTTTCCTACGGGTGCTAGAATCACCAAGCTTCCAGCATGCCACTGGCCGTGGGAGAAGGAGCTTTTCCTCAAGACTACTCCCACTACCTGAAGGGCCTCCGCCAAAACTCTCGCGCGAAAATGAGTTTATGTATACAGCGCAAGCAGGTGCCCGCGGCATGACTTTCATGCATTACTATGCATTGTTGGGCGAGCGCACGCAGCGGGCACCCACTCCGAGGTTAAGTGGAGGCCCCTAGAGTATGGTAGTCGTTAACATGACGTCATGATTGTAAAAAAATGCACTAATGAGTAATTAATATCAACTTTGAAGCAAATCACCACTAAAATAACTTTCTACCCCTTTTTAACATAGTTAGGGGGTGCATTTCACTAAAATACGAAACACGTCTTCCATTAATTCTGTTATAGAATGCTTATGCAAAATTTTAAGTAGATTGGACGAAGGAATCTCGTTATTTCATACAAACTTTGCCCCTCCTTTTTACCTCCTTAGGGGTAGAATTTTGGAAAATCCTTTCTTATCAGATGCTTACGTCATACAAAGAACACACCGTCCAAGTTTCAGGTCTTTACGATCAGCGGTTTAGGCTGTGCATTGATCCATCAGTAGCGCGCGTAGTACTTGATCATTATTTTGCTGCGATGTGATTTTAAAACTGCGATATCTCCTAAGATATTTATTGAAATCGAATGGTGTAAAGGGCAAGAATGTTTAAAATTAAATACTTGTGGTGAATAATTTATTTATTTGGATAAGGATTAATATCATGTTTATAAAAACACCTTCGCAAATAATGCATTATTTTAAAACAGATTTTTTTTGCATAAAAATGGTTACTATGAGCCAACCTTAAAAGATAGACATATGCTACCGCGGACTTTTTTAAGGAACTTTTAAAGGGGAACAATCCTGTCATACATGATTTTTGCGAAACTTTAACCTTTTACGCAGCGTCAGCTCTCAAAAGGAAAAAAATCACTGATTTGAAATATTCTTGATTGGTGCTCCGCTCCTATTGGTCTTAGCGTGATGATAAATAGCCTAAAGCCTTCAGGAACTAACGGGCTATCCAACACAAAAAGAATTTTTCAAATCGGTCCAGTAGTTCCTGAGATTAGCGCGTTCAACCAAACAAACAAACAAACAAACAAACAAACAAACAAACAAACTCTTCAGCTTTATAATATTAGTATAGATGTATTGTAATCTAAATCGAATAAGTCTATTTTGTAGTAGATCTTGGATACACAGGAGTTGCAGCATAATTAATTTTTATATTGTATTTTTATGAGTATACTTGCAGTAGCCCTCCATAACAAGTGGACAGATTTAGATGTATTAACTATTTTTCATTGTTCACGACTGTACTCTGTCCACTTGCTACGGAGGGACTGGTAGTACTTAAATCTTCTTCTTAGTCAGGCACTCTTGTCAGAGTGGTCATGGTTGCGCTGACGAGGTACCTACACGGTGGGGTGTTCGATGTCATCTCCGAGGGTAGCTCTCCTGGCGATGTGCTTCCATTTCTGACGGTTAAAGGCGTCGCGAGTACACTGGACCATGGTGGACTCAGCAGCCTTTGTGATGCTAATGTTTTCCGCAACAGTATAATTCGGTCTTCTCTTCTTCTTTTTATTCGTTTCGCACTTGACAGAGCGGTCGTGGTCACGTTGAGGCGTTGTTCACATCGGTTGTAGAGGCGGATACAACTCTCCGCACGATCTCCCGCCATCTCTCTCTGTTGGCAGACTGTTTGGTGCAGTCACATACGCCGTCTCCCACTGCCGATTTCACTTGGTCGGTCCAGCGCTGAGGTCCAGCGCATTGGTGACCTGGCACGTGATCGGGTTCCTTCGACTTTTCCTTGGACAACCAGTCACTCTATCGATCTATAACTTGTGTGTTTTGGACTTGTCTATAAACATACAATTTCTGATAATAAATAAATAAATAACAACTGTTTACAGTATTTTTGCGCACGGGTTATACATAGCTTATTTTTATTGCTTTGATACTTAAAAATACTAACCATCCTAGACTGCATCCCACTTAACATCAGGTGCGATTGTGGTCAAATACCTGCCTTGTTATGCATAAAAAAAAAAGAATAACAAGAAAAAATTGTTCTGAATTTGCTTTTATAAATGTATCCCAATGAGAATGTGACGTGCATCTTAGACAATTCTACAATGAAGATGGAAAATTCAAATAGCTATAACTTGTTAAAAAGCAAATATTTTCAATTCGTAATCGCACTTCTTTTATATAAATTTGCTTATATAATCAGAATATAATAAGTAAAATCCATGCGCAAAAAATATTATTTTTTTGTTGACCGGTGTAATTCGGTACCATGACTCGTTTAGGCACGATTAAACTGGGCCATACTGGTATAAACCAAAAAATCGTATATCCACACTTTCGCCACAAACAAGGTCATTCGATGTATGTATAGTTTTCGACATGGGTTTTCGATATGTACATAATTATTTTCAGAATGACGCATTATGCAAGAACACGTTCACTGCGTTATCGGGTCGAATCGACCTCACGTGCATCTATGTAGTATTCGGTGCGCGCAATTAATGCTCGCTAAATGTTGGTGCGGCATGGATATATTCGGACTTTTCAGTAATACGAAAGAAATAAACATTGTTATGCAATTGTTTCGTCAGACACAGTAAATATTTGTAAAAAAAAGTATCAGGTCCTTACAACCCGATGTTTTGTGCTTTTATCGGGTCTAATAGACCCGATGACCCGATAGAGGCATTGAATTCTCATTATTTCTCCTGGTGATGTAAGGTGATGAAAAAGTGATTAAGTCGAACGGGTCTTTTTGACCCCATAACGCACCCCGAGAAAGTTAGGCAAAGGGTCGAATAGATCCGATATAGCACCGACGAAAAGTCTTATAAAAAGCTTGCCGCAGTGAGCGTGTTAAAATTTACATATACTTAAATTTTCACATTTTAATTACAACGGTGGGTAAATATAGGCCAAATTTTATGGATTACACGTGTAATCCAAACACATGGAATACAGGACGAACCGCAAAAATATTCTGCAATACCTAAGTTAAAAGTTCTATCGTCATCTATCGTTGACTATCGAAGTACGATTACTTAGGCTGAGTTGCACCACCTAACTTTGACCGTAACTATGACGATAACCGGTGCCTTTTGTATGGAATTTGACAGATTTTTGACGTTTGTCAAAATTAAAGTAAGATGGTGCAACCCAGCCTTACTCGTTGTATGGCTGGCTATATACCGTGAAATTTCAGTGGTTGTTTTCTCGCAGTAAAATGATTCTATCTCATTAGTACGGAAGTTTTTTATTATTTCAAATAAAAAAAAATAAAACCGACTCCAAAAAACCTACATTAAAAAGTAGAAAAATAATTACTAATAACCTACTTATTTATTAGGACGAATTAATATTTATGTAGGTATACCATGATTGATACTTCTGGAGTCGGTGCCAAGATTATGAAACATGTAAAGTTTGCCTGCACCGACTCCAAAAGTATCAATCATGGTATACCTACATAAATATTAATTCGTCCTAATAAATAAGTAAGGTTATTAGTAATTATTTTTCTACTTTTTAATGTAGGTTTTTTGGAGTCGGTTTTATTTTTTTTTATAAAATTTTACTTATTTATTGCTTTTTAAAAAAAAAAAAAAAAAAAAAAAAAAACATACGGGTCGAATTGAGAACCTCCTCCTTTTTTTGAAGTCGGTTGAAAATTAGCCTATACGGAGCGAGTGCGATTCAGTTTATGCTGTAGGTATTATGGTATTACTGAGGTTCTTTTACTTTAAACATTGATTTCGTGAGGCAGGCAATACCCAAATACGTCACATTTTGTAAAAAAAAACTATCGTTTCTTACGCTTTCATGTAGATGTTTTTTTTTATTAGTTGAGAACATTTTTTTTTTCAAAAATATCTCGCACGATCTGCCGCGGGAAAACAAACTAAAACACAGTGTATAACACAAAAATTTTTCTTCAAATGGAGCTCCTGAGATTAGCGCGTTCAACCAAACAAACAAACTCTTCAGCTTTATAATAATAGTTTATTAGATAGCTGATGATCTTTATAAATTATATACCTACCTAGACAAAGTGAGTGACATTCGTATAATTTATAGATTGATTAGTATTCTATTACGTAGTCCATTGTAGGCAAAAACAATTTTATGAAGTCGTTCACGTTACAGCGTACACATTTTTTTCTTAAAACTTAATCAAGAACATAGTATTTTTTTTATTTAATAAGATGCAATTTACTAAAGAAAGAGTCAAAATCAACTTATAGATAAATAAATAAATAAATATCATCATCATCATCATCTCAGCCATAGGACGTCCACTGCTGAACATAGGCCTCCCCCAATGCTTTCCATGCTGCCCGGTTGGTAGCGGCCTGCATCCAGCGCCTTCCTGTTACTTTTATGATGTCTTCGGTCCACCTTGTGGGTGGACGTCCGCAAATAAATAAATATAGGAAGAAATAAAGTCGAATGTTTATTTAAAGGAAACTATTGGAAGTAGGTACTCAAACGATTTTGAAACTCTTTAAGTAGGTAATCAATAGAAAGCTACACCATTCCTAAGTTGTTCGTTCGTTTCAGCCAAATGACGTCCACTGCTGGACAAAGGCCTCTCCCAAGAATTTGTATAACGAAAAAGGTTTGTACCTTTATAATGTCATCATTCCACAATGAACGTCCCACGCTGCACTTAGGGTACGTGGCCTCCATTCCTGAACCTTGCTGCCTCATAGGCTATCAGTTCTGCATACTATGTGCCCTGCCCATTGCCACTTCAGCTTGCTAATCCGTAGGGCTACGTCAGCGACTTTAGTTCGTTTACAGATCTCCTCATATCCGATTCGTTCTCGTAAAGAAATACCAAGATTAGCCATGGGGAGCTTTATCACGCTATCCAGCATTGAGTTTTAAAGGTTCGGCCAAACCAACGGGTGCAGCTGGTGTTCACTGCAAGGCGATTTTTTTAAAAAGATTATAGGAATTTGTTATTACACAAATTGCTAATACTCCCGTTAGCCCCTCGTACTAAGCTAAATAAGCTTGTGTCACGAGTGAGCTCACCACAATTAAATAGTCGTGCGGTGGCGAGGACCGAACCCGCGTTCCCCGGATCACGAGTCGGCCAGTCCGACCCCTTCAAAGTTCGGCTATCGTGGCTATAATTGATTGAACTTAAACGCATTGATCGCCATCGCCATTGCACACGCAGGCTGATCACGTTGGTTTGACCGAATCTTTAGTCGAGCGGATTATGTCACTCTTATTGTATTTTGTACCATGGCAAAAACAAATAATCAAAATCCCACTGAAACTACAGCCTATATTTTAATAAAACATAAAATATTTGTTAATTTCAATTTGCATAATGATACACAAGCTTATAATAATATAACAGCGAAAAACAGCTTTGCAAATAATTCAACTCTCTATAAATTCCTTAATAAAAAATTAAACTGCATAGTAAATTTCATTCTCTCACAGAATTTCAAGATGAGTGCCGCCAATTTATTATTAGTACTAGTGTCCGTTTCAGGTAAGATGTATTTAAAAACGAAACCCACTGTTGCTCGCCACCAGTGCAACTCCAGGATTTCTAGTAAAACCGAACACTTGTTGTATTCCCGTGCGAAAAGTTTAAAAGAACTTCGTATATTCGGTTTGTTTTGGACTATCCCTTCTTCCAACTTCCAAGTAGACCGATAGCACATCATCTTGCTATTAGTAGCAAGATGATGTGACTGAAGACTGAAGAGGGACTGTGAGAACTACCATGTTTGCAGTTCCCTAGAAAACTGCTTCTTCCATCTTCCAAGCAGATCGATATTACATCATCCAGCTACCAGCTAGTTCCCTGAAAAATAGTTTCCTTTTGCACCGTTTTTCGGCCAAACCAACGCGTGCAGCGTACGCGATGGCATGATATGCTATGACAAATTTGGTTTGGCCGAACCTTGACTATTCTTTTAGTGGAAAATTAGCTCAAAATATTTAATCTTTGATACAGCGTGTCACGCCGCCATTCCGGATCTGACTGGTTGTGAAGTGGCCGCCAAGACCGAGCAGGGGTATGTGTGTGGGAGGATCAGAAACGCCACCAATGGGGCGAAATACGCCAGCTTCAGAGGAATGCAATATGGGACGCAGCCGCTAGGGGAACTCCGATTCAAGGTACCTATTTTTCGCTTACCTGATTTACCCGGTTATTAAAAGCTGTTAGATCGAGCATAATATCGAATGATTGAATGAATAAATAGTAAGGTTACTTATTTTTTATGCTCTGCGTTCTAAACAGTTTGATGAAAACTAAGTAACAAGATCCACAAACAACTAAAATTCGACTTTTTTCAGGAACTGCTACCACCTCCATCTTTTGACGGACTCTTCAACGCTACAGAGGCCGGTCCAATTTGCGCGCAAGTGGATGTTTTATACACGCCGAATAACCTCGTGGCTCCTCTGTCCAGCGGCGAAGACTGCATCCGCATCAACGTCCATGTGCCGTACGACTACCTTCCCGCAATCAACGCAACCAGCAACTCAAGCAACCTCCTGCCAGTTATGTTCTGGATCCATGGAGGAGCGTTTTCGTACGGCTCAGGGGACGCCGACGTGCACGGGCCTGAATATCTGATGACTAAAGACGTTATCTTGGTTACTATTAATTACAGGTTAGTATGTAATGAATATTCTATGAACAGCTCAAAATAAAATGCATATTACACCAATACATAAAACCAATCAAGTGCGACTAAACGTACTCATAGATTGACGTCTGTCGATGCTGGAAAATTGATGACAAGTTTCGACAACATTTTTTAATTTGGTTCCCATTTCAGGCTTCACGTTTTCGGTTTCTTGAGCTTGGATAACGAGTACATACCTGGAAACAACGGGCTAAGGGATTGCATCACAGCTCTTAAATGGGTGCAGAGTAACATCAGGAACTTCGGAGGGGACCCTGCCCGAGTGACGATATCCGGGGAGAGTGCCGGAGCGGTCATGACCCATCTGCTTTCTATTTCAAATGCCACACAAGGGCTTTTCCAAAGGTAAAATAAACATACAATAGACACAATTAAACATTAAAAGTCCTGCGGCGAGTATCAATAAAAAGATACAAGGCAATTAAGGCATGGCAATAAAAGGACGACTTCAAGTCGTTGTATTCTTTGCAGACGATACAATATTGATTCTTCAGCTCTTACTTTAATTCAAATAACATATTTTCAGGGCAATAGCATTGAGCGGACAAGCCATTGCTAGCTTTTACAGTTATTCGCAAACCTACGCGAAACTCATCAATGCCATCTTCTTGCCTGCTGCTGGAATAAACCCGCTTCAAACGCCAAAAAAAATCTACGAGGACCTCGTGGCAGCTCCTCTAGAGAATTTACTGGCGGGCAATAAAGTCCTACTGGACACGTTTGGTCTTGTATCCTTTACTCCCGTTATTGAGAGTGTACCTACAACCAAATTTCACGACTGTCATACCAGCATCACCAGAAGATCTCTTGAATGCTGGAGCTGGTAAAAACTACCCCATGTGGATCGGCTTCTGCAGTAATGAAGCCGCAGACTTCAAAACGAGATTGGAGGAGGTCAACATAGAAACCAAATTGAGGCTGGTGCCTTCATTGACGTTACCACAGAACTTGTTGTTTTCAGCGAACCCACTGACGGTGCCGGCTCTGACGACGCTGCAACTAGCGGAATACTTCAACGTGACTTTCATAACTCTTGAGAAATTCTTATTTGCAGCGACTGACTCGTATTGGAAGTACCCTGCACAGCGACTAACTCTTAAGAGGTTGAGATCGAATGCCTCGAACACTTACCTGTCTCAGCTTTCATACCCAGGAGAGAACAACAGAAGCGTAATAAAGGACGCTTTGAACCGGAACTGGACGGGAGCAGCTCACGTAGAAGACCTTCCATACTTCTTCAGATTTAATCATTTCGTTGGACCGCAGCAGGAGAACGAGTTGGCGCCTACTAGCCAAGATAACAAAATGAGAGCCAAGATGACTGGCATCATCACCAACTTCGTTATCAACGGGTAATTTTCAAATGTATTCTATTTTGTTGATAGTAACATATTTCTTTTTGTCTGCTGGAGAAAGCACGAGTTTTCTTCTTCATCAAAAATAGGAGCAAAATGAGAGATTTACGGGGATAAGGCCTGGTTTGCACCAAGATGGAGAGGAGCGAGTGGAGAACTATTTTATATTTAACCAATCTGATTTCCTGGTTTCCTGAATAATGAAGTCTGATTGGTTATTCAAAACCCTTCTCCGATACGCTCTGCCTTGGTGGAAACCAGTCCTGTCTTTTTTTAACTCTCTTATCACCTTGCAAGATAATTTAGCAGAACTCTCAATTCCTTCAGGATAACATTGAGTACTTCTCTTCTTCTTCTGTACTTTACACTGATGTGGTGCATCTTCAAAATTATCATATTTTTTATTCCAGATCACCAGCTAGCTCCACCGACTGGCCGGCTACTGGTACGGACCTGAAGTTCCAGAACCTAGACTCGCCTGACCAGTTCAACTTCACCGATCTGACTCCTTACATGGAAGACAAGATCACCTACTTCTCCAACTTGTATAATGTCGGTGGTCTCGGATCTGTTTAAAGGCCAAAAATAATAAAGGCTACAAATAATAAAGGCTACAAATAAAAAAGGCTAAAAATAATAAAGGCTAAAAATAATAAAAGCTAAAAAATAAGAATGTTGTGTTTTCTGTTGGTGGTCTCGAATCTGATAATGTTAACGTGAATTAAAATAAATCAGATAATGACATTTATGTGGTTTTTCATTATCGGCTTAGGATTGGGCCGTTACAGCTTGATAACCATCCAGTTGCGACCCCTGGTTCACTTGACTTAATTTGTTACTAATGACCTCTAGTACAACTCCTTTCAAGGAATAGGTCGAGTATCCCAATCAACCTGTAGTATGTATATGCTGTCCAATCTGCGTGTCATGGAGGGAGGCCTGTGTTCGGCACCTGGATGTCCTGTGAACTCCTGTGGCTATAATAATATGTTCATGACGATGATGTGAAAGAGTTGTAAAATTTTAATTCTACCTATTCATAAATTCAAAGTACAGGTCAAGAAAATCCTTATAAAAAAATTGGCCAAGTGCGTGTCGTGCTACGCGCAGTGTAGGGTTCCGAAGTTGTACGTCGTTAACACAATATATGTATTTCAGAAGCAAGCAATTACTTCATCTAAAGTCACTTTAAATATTTTCTTCTAACGATTTTTTATTAGTTATGAAATTTTATTACATGAGTTAAATGACTGTTACTCTGAAACTAACTGATCTATCGTTCCCACCACTGCAACTCCTGTGTAGCCAGGATCTACAGCTTGACCGCCACAAAAACCCAACCAATGAAGGTCAAGTTTGTCCCGGGGAAACTTAAACTGTCATTGGACCCGCAACGAAATTAATCAGAAGAACATAGGAGGAGTTCGAAATTAAGGTTCGACTTCCCTCCATTGCAAAGCGGATGACAGGTGACAAAAAAAAAGGTTTAAAACCCTTAAGAAAAGATTATGCACCACGGACAATAAATAAAAATTAAGGGGGCCTATCTTATGAGCAATTAGCAACTACCTGCACGGACATTTTTCCTTGTCGCGAAAAGATCGGTGTAATAAATTGCGGAAACTGATGTATGTTGTATTGAATTAAGCATTATATCACGTTCATGTTTCCAAAGATCACACTCCCACAAGATTATGATGGGCAGACTGCTCATGACTGACATCATCAGTGGAACACTGGCAAAAAGGAGACGGAACTAGTTTGAATTCGTGAAGTTTATGTCTAAAGTTGCCATGCCCCGTGAGGAACTGCGACGAGCAATGGTCGATTTCTAACTATCGCCTAGTTAGACGTTCGCGTACATTCGGGAAGAATTTATGTAAGTGACGTCCTTTGACTGACGTATCCCATCTTTTTTGCCATTCATTAAGTAATTCCTCTTCAACGACTTCTCGGGAATCAAATAATCGGCTTATTTTAGAACGATCGCGGCTATTTAAGAAATCGGAGGTTATATTTTCCCTTGATGTTCGCATCGACTATGTACTTCGACATAGTCGCACGCTTTTGTATCTCTAAGTCGACCGGTAGTACACCAGCCAGGACTGGCAGAGCTTCTGTGCTCACAGTTCTGTAAGCTTTGGAAAGAAAAATCAATGCAAGGCGTTGATTTTGGAGTAGTTTCCGTCGAGCGGCTCCTATAGTAGCTCTGTCAGCCCAAACTGGTGCAACATAGCAAATGGAGCTTAAATAAGTGGCCGAATATATTATTCGGAGTATTTTAAACGTTAGACCCCACGTCGAGGTTGAAATGTGACTTAAGGCATAAAAGTTGTTTTTAGCTTTTTCACCGATCTGTTTAATGTGCTCGACAAAACTAAAGTTTTTCTCTAAAATTAGTCCGAGATAGCAAACAGATTCCCGTTTTTAACAGTTATTTCATTGAATTTAATGCGAGGCAAAACTTTAAGATTACCTTTTAATAGAAGCTGATTAAGTTTTGTGAGGGGCAAACTGCAAACGATTCCTGTCTCCCCATTGAGATATTAAAGTCAAGCAAGTAGCTAGATTTTCAAGTTTTGATCTAGTGTCAGCCTCTATTAAAAGGAGACCGTCATCTGCGTACCTGGTTAACGAACAGCCTTCGGGTAGTGGTAATGCTAGAAAATCATCGAAACCCAAATTCCAAAGATAGGGCCCTAGAACCGATCCTTGAGTACAAACGCGGGTGAGCACCTTTGATTCAGCATGATGGCCGAGTTTTAATTTAGTTGTATAGAGAGGTAGTGTTTGTTTTTTTGAGAAACTATTGGAACTAGGTACTGTAACGATTTTGAAAACTCTTAACGTAGGTAATCACTAGAAAGATACACCATTCCTAAGTTGTGTTCGTTCAGCCAAATGACGTCCACTGCTGGACAAAGGCCTCCCCCAATTCTATACGACCTGTCCTGCGCTGACCGTACCCAGGTACTTCCCGTGACTTTCACCAGATCGGCGGTCCACCTAGTGGGGGGCCTGCCCACACTACGTCTTGTGCGGGTATTAGCTCTACCAGCTATGTACTCTGCCAACTGACACTTGATTTTAGCAATTTTGCGTGCTATGTCTTACAGCCCGTAAATTGACACATGGGTGAAAGTCAGTTTATTATTTTACAAGCTTTTGCCCGCGGCTTTACCCGCGTGAAACTTAGTTTGTCACATAACGTCATAAATTATAACCTATATTTTATTCTAGGTTTTAAACAATAATACTGTAAAGTTTCATCAAAATCTTTTGTAGTTTCCTCAAATAGTTTTTGCGTGAAAGAGTAACAAACATCCAGACATCCATACAAACTTTCGCATTTTTAATATTAGTAGGATTTATCTGCGAATATAGGTTGTACCTAGTAGTTACTTACGTAGCTTCTACTGACGTTATTAAGACAATACACGTGTATCGTGTATAGATAAAGAATTTCACGCCGCAAAGTATGAATAATCATGACTCATAATATCACAGGCCGTCTGCTTTATATACAGTGTGTAAATCTATGATCAATTAAAGCGAAAGTTCACTGACTGACTCACTCACTCATCACGAAATCTCAGAAACTTCAAGTGTAGAGTCTCAAATTTTGTATGGAGGTTCCTTTTATAACGTACCAGCGAGGTGTGCAGCTAGCTCGATTAGCTTGTGTACATACTAAATCCTGCCAATTCCGAGTTGGATTCAATGAAAAACTTCGGAGCGAAGAAGGCATTACAGGCAGAAATTACAACTGCCACGTTTTGCCAATTTTCTAGAGAGGATTGTTTTTTGTCGAGGAAATAATGCATTAAATTGCAGCCCTACCCTGCAGGAATCCATTCATTCAGCCCCAGGGCGGGCGTCCACTGCTAAACATAGAACTCCGCCAATAATTTACAGATGGCAGCGCCATGCGCCCAGCGCCTCTCTACAACTTGACTCACGAACTAATCACAGAGCTCTATTCCACACTGAGCGTTCGATTTGCTGCTTCACCTAAGCAAGCATCTTTTGTGAATACATGGAGAGCCACGCTGTCCATGCAGCTTTGAGCTCCTTTAAGTAGAGAAAATAACTCTTATACTATGGCAAAAACAATATTAAAATCCCACTGAAATTACAACCTATATTCATTTTTGTTAATTACAACTTTTTTTAAAGATAATTTGCATAATGTGATAATGAGCTCTCACCAGGCAACAGCTTTGCAAATATATCCACTGCATAAATATCAAAAAATTGCCTGATAAGGTTTATTCTCTTACAGAATTTCAAGATGAGTGCCGCCAAATTATTATTAGTGGCACTAGTGTATATTTCTGGTAAGATTGTAATCGTATAAATTTAATAACCCAACCTCTCGCCACCAGTGCAAGTCCAGGATTTCTAGTAAAACCTTAAAACTAATTGAAGTCCAGTACGAAAAGTTTAATTGTCAGAAATTCGGCGCTCTTTTCCAATTTATCCTTTCTTCCATAGCAAACCTTCCAAATCGCAGTTTCCTGAAAAATAGAGTTTCCTTTTGCTTCGTTTTTCGGCCA